CCCCCCCAGTCATTTTAAACTGACACACAACAGACTGGTCCCGTGTGCTGAAAATTTGTGCTAACTGAAAAAGGAAATGCTGTGAACTTACTTCACCACCTGAAGTTTTGCCATCTAGTGGAACATGCATGTGTTTACAGTCACAAACATTAGCAATTAGGATTTTCACTTTCAATCTGAAGAAATGCAGGATACCCCCTCCCCCATGGATATAAAATGGGTCACGTTTTTATTTTCAGTACTGGACAGTCGTGTAAAGATGCAGGACGGGCGATACCTCTCCCAGCGACGACACCTGTTCCCCACAGTGAGGCAGTCAGAGGAAGAAACCCAGCAATAAACTGTATTGTCAGCATTGTCCAGTTTCACACTACAGCAGGTGTGACCAGTCTTACCTGCAAAGGGCCGCTGTGTGTGTGGGTTTTCGCAGGGGTGACCAGTCTTACCCGCAAAGGGCCGCTGTGTGTGTGGGTTTTCGCAGGGGTGGCCAGTCTTACCCGCATAGGGCCGCTGTGTGTGCGGGTTTTCGCAGGGGTGACCAGTCTTACCCGCAAAGGGCCGCTGTGTGTGCGGGTTTTCGCTGCAGCTCACTAATTATATTACTAATTAGAGGACTGATTGGCTGAAGAGTCCTCACACCTGGGTTTGAACAGCTGACCTAAAGGTCACCCCGAAAACCTGCATCCACACCGGCCCTTTGCGGGTAAGATTGGCCACCGCTGCTCTACAGCAAAAAGGTGATTTCTTAAAATTTTAGGTTTGTTTGCAGTCCATTCAATTTGTCGTCTTTTCCTGAAGCTCTGGAATCCTGAGGATATTGTAAGCAAATATTGAGCCTTGAAGTAACAATGACTTGTTTATATGTAGTCTAACCATAAGATCACTGTAACCAGTCTGATATGAATACAGTTATCAGGGTAGAATATTCTGGCCCAGCCAGTATTGATGGGTTATCAGTCAGAAAGTGGATCGGTAGTGTTCAGTGTTCAGTGTTCAGTGTTCAGTGTGCGTGTACATGCCTGGGACCAGGCGGAGCTCAGGAGCCGCCTTCCACCTATTTACCTTAAGCACACTGCACGCAATGCATTTTCTTTGTTTATATGACATTCTATGTACAGGAGCCTCTTTGTTTTCTATGAAGCCCGTCTAGAAAGAACTGGCTTAACAAGATCAGCTGCTTTCCCAAGATGCTCCAGTTTTGTGTGTGTGTGGGGGGGGGTGTGTGTGTGGGGGGGTGGGTTGTACTGGTGATCCGTGGTTCTGAGTTGTCAGCACATGGAGTAGAGGCTTCCTACCAGCAGTCTACCTGGGGGGCTGTCGAGCTTGAGCTGCCTCTGCTTGTGTGCTGCGCTGCTATCACCACCCATTATGACTCATGCTGGCGTTGGTGTAATTATTGTATAGTGATGTAATCTTTCTGAAGGCCTGCTCTGTGTGGATGCTGGAGGGAAACTGGTATGAAGTGTGGTTTACAGTCACTCGATGTCAATAGCCTTCTATCTCCCATTACTGCCCCCCCCTCCTTTTGGCCTTGTCCTTGTGAGCACTGGGGGCTGGGCAGGCAGAGTACTCCACGGCCACTATCTAAATTCTTACATATTTTGATGTGGGGTATGTGACTGGCTTGGGGGGACAAATACCTGCGTCCATTTCGCCAAGATGGCTTGAAGGACTTACTGGTATTGCTGCCCCTAAACTGGCAGACCCTGTTGGTTGAGAGTGCCAATCTGAGGGTCGCACAGGAGTCCAGTCTCTGTCATGGTTCCACGCCTTGACTGGGTGAACCTGTGCCCCCCCCCCCCCAGCACATTTTACACCTGTGTGTTGTTTGTTACCCATGTGTGCATAGCCTGTGCCACCCACTTAAGAAATGCGAAACCCAGGACTGTCTACGATTTTGTCTGACTTTCTCCCTCCCCCCCTCTTTTCCAGGAATCGGAGATCAGCGCTGCCTGCAACCATGTAAGTGTGCTCTGCTCTTCTCTCTCTGTCCATCCCCTCCCCCAACCCTAAAATCTCATGAGCTCTAGTGACTAAATTCAAACAGTTCTGAGCAAAGTAATCCTGGCTGCAGGCTGGGTTAGATGATCATTGGCAGTGGGAGCCTCCCAGACGGCTACTGCCTCCTGCTGGAAGCAGTGGGCACAGCACGAGCAGAGCAGTCACTGTGCTGCTGACTCTCTCCAACCACCAATGAGCATCTCCTCTGTCAGCCTTGGGCCATTTACTAAAACCCTACTATTATACTGAACACATTTTTGTATATGTAAAACATTCAAAAATATGGTGTGTAATTCTGGAAATGAAAGTCAGCAGTCAAACTGTAGTTTTATGTTGCCTGTGGTGTTAAGTAGCTGATGCTTTCCATCCTGTGCAGATGTTCCACACACCAAGCTGGTGAAAAGGTACAAGTGTTGCTCCTTGTCAGTTTAATATCTCACATCCCACGGCGGCTCTCTCTGTTACGTGACTCAACGCGGCGATTGTGCAGATGCAGAGATGAAATCCCAGTACGGGACAAATGTGACCTCGATTTATTCTGGTCTCTGAAGCAGCCGCCTGAGGAACCTGCAGTTCCTGGTTTAAAGGGGATGGGGAGCAGGGCCAATCTGATGTGGCCCCCAGGGTGACACCTGCATAATTTACCTGAAGACTTTGCTGCCTTCTGTGGCACTGATGATGGACTCCACCCACCCAAGTGTCCCCTCCTCTCAATAAGTGTGGACCCTGCACACCCCCCCCCCCCCCCCACCAAACTGGTTAAATGTAGAGCAGTAGGTTCTTGGCTAGTTCACCATTAGGACCCACATTTTTCTTCGGTTCTAAATGTTAAAAATTTGGGTTGAGACTTAATGCCCAAATTCATTGCTCAAAAAAATGGTACGGTAATAATAAAATGCAACAATGCAGTAACATGATGCTTTGGTATTGTCACCTGATGGTGTGATCTCCATGCAGGGTTGGCGTGCTGACTGGAAACCGTGAGAAGCAATGTAGGTCTTGATGAGCTACTCAGTGGGAGGGGCAGGTGCCGTTTCAATGATGGCTCGGAAAGCCAGCAGCAAGGCCGTCAAGCTGACGTGAGGACCTATGCTAGCTAATGAAGAGAGAGAGGGGGGCGTCACGTGACAGTCATTCGGCCAACTGGCAGCCCTGTCAGTCACAAATGTCTAGTCGTGAGACAAGTGCATGGACAAGATCTTTTAGGGTACAAATCTACATAACCAGGAGACAGCTGCAATGTTGTCATCAAATATAGCTGGGCATACATAAGTGCCCTTAGGTTTTTGATGGACCCAGATGGAGATATTGTTGGTGATCTTAGCTGCACGGTGATGTCCTGGAGAATGGTGAATTTGACATGGAAGATGAGAAGGTTGGACTTGGTTATAGGATGGCGATTCCTCATTTTCATGCTGCGATGTCACTGAGGTATGCGGAAATGTTAGGTGGAACTACGGTGTCCTTTGTCAGGAAAGTGGAGTTGGATGTCTACTGTGTAAAAGTGGTAGGAAAAAAAACACTGACTTGGTAACTGGATATAAACAGGGAGTGTACAGAAAGTAGAGGGCCAAGGACAAACCAGTCCATTTTCTGGGATGAACCAGTTGTTCCTCATGTGACTTGGACACCAAAATGATGCGATAAGCCGTCTCTGAGCAGTTCCCGTGACATTGAGTGATGGTTTAGATAAGGGTTTAGTAGTTCATTTTAACTGCTGCAGATGGGTCTAATAGAACTAGGGGTCCATCCTGGAGTCTTTTCTCCTTGTTAAAATGTTTTAGTTTTTCAAATTCAAAATGGCCAGCGCTTTTAATCGTTTTGAAACTGGCAAAGTACAAAAAATCTCTGAAAGCTTTTCCTCTTATGTGTTCCTACAGCTTCTCTGGAACTACAAGTTGAATCTGACAACAGACCCTAAGTTTGAGTCTGTGGCTGTGGAAGTATGCAAGACCACCATCCCGGAGGTGAGTGCCCCCCCCCTCCCCTTCCCTTTTCCTTTTCCCACAGAAGATGAGAAGTTTTCAGACGCTGCCGTTGGCTGAAGAGTTAAGGTCTCCAACCTCCGGACATCCCCTGGTTCTAACGAACCACCCTCCTCCGCGAGGGCTGCATCAGAAGCTTGGGCTATTTCTGTCTGTCTCGAGGTTTGCATGGGGACAGAGATCATGATGCTGAGCAGTATTCCTGTGGGCAAACTGGGGATTTCAGCCAACCATTCGAAGGCTGTTTTAGCGGTCAGCTGTTACCCCCTCCTCGCTTAACATTACTTTGCATGGGTCACGTCAGGTGAAAATGAGTAGCTCTCGTCTATTGATTGTGAACTCATAAAAGGTGATAAGTGGGTTTAACTTGCCTGCACTGAGGGCTATTCTTCACATCTCCTACTGGTGTAGAGGTTAGTTTGTCTAACTCCTCTGACAGTTGCACGGTTGACCGGAGTCTGTGCTTGACCCAGATCAAGGAATGTGCAGAGGAGCCACGTGGGAAAGGCTACCTGGTGTCCTGCCTGGTGGATCATCGCAGCAACATCTCGGAGTATCAGTGCCACCAGTACATCACCAAGATGACCACCATAATCTACAGCGACTACCGGTTGATCTGCGGCTTTATGGACAAGTGTCGCGATGACATCAATGCCCTGCACTGTGGCAGCATCAACACCGGGGAGAAGGTATTTGCTGCAAGCCCAACTTGCGTTCTGCTCTCTACTGCTCGCCGGTTGTGCGGGACCCTAGCGTCTGGTCGGTCTGGCCCTGTTTGTGTCTGATTTAGCTGCATTTTCAGCATTGTTTGCTGACATCAAAAGGAAGCCTAGGATAAGTCAGTCACAGGAGAGTGGAGTCTATGGTTTGTGCAGCAGGGTGTGGTGACCACTAGGGCTGCAATTCCTCCCAAAAAATCTTTTGTAATAATACTGTGTGAAATGCAAGTGAAAGTCAGTGATGATGTCCTATAATTTTGCATCCTATACACTTGAAACTAGATCAGGGCTGTTCAGATCACGGTCCTCAAGGTCTGAGCACGGCTCCTTTTCCAGCCTTCCTTGACCCATGTGTGTGAAGCCTCTGTGGCCAATCAGAATCCGTAATTATTAAACTGCCTGGGAGAACGGAAAACAAGGCCTGGATTTGGAATCGGATTTCAAGAACCCTGGACTAGATTAAGGTTAGCTAGGGTAACTCATAACTAATGTGCCCAAGAAATGGTTTGGGTCACTACTTCCTTTTTTGATTTAATGTCTGGGAGTTCTGGAGTGATTTGTAGTGCTGATGAGGGACCCTGCAACCTCCTTCCCTTTATATGTTGGTTTCTGGAGTGTGGTGTGGTTGTATCCCCTGGCCATCTTCACAGAATTCACCATTTTAAGCTTCAGCCTTCATGTCCAATGTGAGCCGGTGGTGGCTCACTCCTGTCTGAGGGGGGTTTTCCTGTTCATCAGGGATGTCCAGGATCTGGACCCACTGGTCACACAGTAATGGTGCTTTTCCACTGCCGCCAAGAACCGAGCTGTTCCACAGCTGTACTGTGAGGTGGCGGTTTTCCATTGTGAATTATCCGAGCTGCACACGAGCTGACAGCCCTGATTATTTGGTTGCATCACCACCATCTGATTGGTCTAAGTGCAGGGAGATGCAATTTTGTGTCGATATGCATGGCTTATCTAAAGGGAATAAAGGGCATGTTTTATACATTATTCATTATTGGTAGTACCACACATCATGATATTGATGTATTTCCGATAACTTAGAACTTAAATTTCCAACCTCCTACTCAAAACAAGTACTATAGATACTATGGGTTTGTAAAGCAAATGTCAGGGTACCCGTGGTCATGGAAAACCTGGAAAAGTTTTGGAATTTTTAAATAATTTTTCCAGGCCCTGGATAAGTTTTGCAATTTTTAGATAGAGAGGAAAAGTTTTGGAAACTAGCCTTGTTCATTTTTGTCTCCCGCGTCGTTCGGAAATGTACGAGCGGAAGTCAATAGTTAACTACCTTGGCAAACATCCGTTTTACCGCGCAGATTTTCATTTGAGACCGCTTTTTTTTTGCTCGCTATTCCAGTTTTTTTTTTTTTTTGCACGTATTTGAATTTTATTGACCAATTTCCTATTTTTGACTCAGTTTGCCTCTACCAATCATAAGGTACATATAATTTTAATAATTGGGATTAATTTTCGTAATTGAACGCTATTTGCACATTGTACAAAGTTGTGCACCGTCTGTTTATTTGGTAAGTAGATTGGCTATTATCTTACCGAAAATTGTAGTATTATCTGAAACTGCATGATCATCAAATCAAAGCAAACTTGTGTGTTTCGGAAATTTTTCTTATGGTACTGAAAGTTATGGAAATTTATTCTGCCAGAATTGGGGAACCCTGAAATGTACGCAAGCAAATGCAAATTTTTCTAGATACTAACATAAGATGGTGAATCTTGCAGACTTGCTATCAGAAATTAGCACATAGCGTGTACATCCCGCGTTAAAGGCAAATACGTGTGTCTTTGGTTTAGGGGCGGGCAATATCACCTAAAAATTACCATGGTATTTTTCACTTTTTGGACAGTGACTATTATATGGTCTTGTTTTCCAAATTCTGTGAGGAATACCATCTCCTGTCCCTTTATGTAAATAACATTTTGTTACATTCCACTTACTTGATATATCATTTGTCATCTGGTAGACATGGGAGATTATCAACAGCATTTTAAAAAAATTATTTTTTTTTTGCAAAAAGCCCGAAAATCTTTAACTTATGTGCTACAACAAAACTAAAATGACCAGTTCTGCAGTACCCAGAGAAGAATTTTTGGCATGTTGTAGCTGTGAACCTGTAACCTGTATCCGGGACACAAAAACACACAAATGAAAGCATCAAGGCTCCCAGCTACTAAAATATAAGTGCAGAGACTTCCTGAAGTTCCGGGAGTCTCCCGCATGTTGATTGCAGCCCCATGATGCCCGCAGATTTATACTGTATACATCCAGACATTTGCATTTTAGAGCAAAAGTGCGTGTGCATGACAGAGAACAAAGACCCTGGATCTTATCTAGAATCTTTGGAGGAGAGTGGGGGTCAGTGCATCCGTGCCGTCCCGAGTAACGTACCAGAGTAAGGAGGGGCACGGGACAGTGCATCAGTGCCATCGTGACACAGTGGCAAAGCTCTCATAATACTGAAGTTTACTCTGTCGGATGATTTAAAACTCAACCAGTTTTTTCAAAATTCTTCATTCCTGACTTTCCTTAACTTTATTAGCCCACATCTAGCTTCAGTGGCTACTTCTGACACGATTCCGCGTTAATTGGCTGGTTGTGCTTTTTACCAGAAACCTTGCATGAAGGCAGTGGTGCATATATATGCTGATTTAGCAAATGTTTTACTTTATAATTTGGTACTTGTATGTAACCGGGTGATTGTTTATTTATTTTTGTTTAATGTGTATAGTTACTCAATGTTTTTGTTTAAAATTTGATAAACACTACACCGTGATGGCAAATAGGAAGCTACATACATTATATAAAGACAAGTATTCAGACTACAACTGAAGCTTTGAAGAAAATGAAATGCTTTTTTTTTTATAAGCAGGCTATATATGTATACAGTGTATATATATAAAATAAATATAATTAGGCTGTAGACTTCTCCCTTGCTTTGGTTTTACACCAGTGTCACACTCTAAACCAAGCAGTGCTGGGTGAGTTGGATTCGTGCTGTAGTAAGTCTCTTCACTGTAGGGCTTGGTTCCTGTGCGCCAGTGGAAAAGTGCCATAGAGCTGTAGCGAAGCCAGTGATGCACAAACTGGAGCCAGTGACTCTCTAAATGCTTCTGTTTTAAACAGTTTGTGTTGATTAGGTGCCCCCCCCCCCCCTCCCCTATTTCCCCTTTATTAGGATCTCCACTCGCAAGGTGAGGTGATCGCATGCCTGGAGAAGGGCCTGGTCAGTGAGGCGGAGGATCCGGGCCAACGACAAGAGGTCAAGGATGAATGCAAGAAGGCCATCCTGCGTGTGGCTGAGCTCTCCTCTGACGACTTCCACCTGGACCGCTACCTCTACTTCTCCTGTCGTGACGACCGTGAGCGCTTCTGCGAAAACGTATGGCCAGGCTTCTCTGTCTGTTGTCGATTGGCAGAAATGCCCTCACCACCACAAGCCTGTTAATTGTGTTTTTGCTACAGGGCAAAGCTGTTTGTATGCAAGGCTGTGTGTCACAGTTGACTGGCCTACAGTCCAACTTCCTGCTTCCGTAGCTCATTTGAAATCTTGCATACTACAGACTTGTCTTTGCTGATGTTGGGTACCATGCTTTAGGTATCTCTAGGGCAGTGGTTCTCAGGCGCCCTCCCTGCCTGAATGTTTTCGTTCCAACCCCACCTTAATCAGGCTAAAGGCGGTTACAGACCGAATGCGGCATGCACTACGCTGCCCTTCGTGCCGCGCGCCGCTCACGGAGCTTCGGGGAGCACTGTGGTCAAAGATGAACTCTCTCGCGATCAATAGAAACAAGGCACCGAACCGGGCACAGAAAACAAAATGGAGGAAAAACTTATATTGTCCGTGTCTGAGTTCCCAGAGCTATATCACACAAGCGCAGAGTCTTTTTGAATTCGAAATATACATAGTCGCTACTGACCGCGAGCCAAAATGACAGGAGAGAGTTTTGAGAACCACGCCTACTCTTTGCGCAGAAGCCTCGCGGGTGAGCACAGCGCAGGCCGCGTTCGGTCTGTAACCGGCTTTAGCCTATTAAGGACCATATAAGCCTGATTAAGGTAGGGTTGGAATGAAAACATTCAGGCAGGGAGGGCGCCAGGAACAGGATTGAGAACCACTGCTCTAGGGGATGGAACGGTCAGACCCAAGAAGATAAGAAGTCGGGTGATGGAAATTTACTGACCAACACATGTACTGGCATCTACTTCACCCAAAAGTTCCACATCCCTGAAGTGATAGTGCTTGAGTACCTTTTTGAAGGCACCTTCTGAGGAAGCTTACCCTGTACTGGATCACTGATAAATGACTTTGTGGAAGCCTGATTCCCTGGTACACTTGTACTGCCTGAATATGTTCATTTTTTTGTGAGTCACAACGGATTCCTTTTCACGTGAAAGCGTATAAAAGGACCGGCATTGTCCCACAGCGTGATTCCGTCCCGCAGCTGCAGCGTGGTGAAGCAGTCGTTTGCAGCAGCAGCGTTTTCCATTCATAAGCCCTTGTAGAGGGATGTGCTTTCATTGAGAAAGATGCGGCAACACAGCTGAGAGCAGGAGGACACAGCAGCCTTGCAGGCTCTCCTGCGAATCCTGCCCTGCTGCTGCACTCTGTGTAGGGGGTCTGCTGGTACCTGGAAGTGGGAGGCTTTTGGCTGTCTGTGCATGCTGGAGTGTTTGGGCCAAGGTGGATTTTGTGTTTTAAATCGTACCGGTTTCTTCATCTCCTTGCAGACCCAAGCTGGAGAAGGCAGGGTCTACAAATGTCTCTTCAACCACAAGTTTGAGGAGGCCATGACCGAAAAGGTGTGTGTGTGTCTGTGTGTGTGTGTGTGTGTGTGTGTGTTGGGGGGGGGGATGGTCTTTGTGTGACAGATTTAATAGCAGCTGCTCCTGTGTCTCATTTTTGACCTTGACTGCATGCCCTCCCTGTAATTCCAGAAGCTGGTCAGGCATGACTGACTTTATGCAAGTTGTCTAAAAGATTCTCTTCTCCAGATGAGGTCTCTGTCTGGGGACAGTTAAAGTATTTCTTGTGGGGGGAAGGGAGGGGGGATTCGGCAAAATGGTAAAACCCTGAAAAGAAGAGAAAAAAAACAAAACTGCAGACGGGACAACAATTTTCCATCTAGAATTTTTCCATCAGTGGAAGTGAATGGGAAGTAGTCCTGTGAGTTTCAGCCTGTGTGTGTGTTACACTGAGGGACCAATGTCCCCACAATGTGATTAAAAACGTGTTTAGACCTTGTGGGGACATTTTTTGGGTAACTCACTTT